AGATATATTCAAAGATTATATACATAATATGTACGAAAAGATTCAAATATTTACGAAAGCAAAAAATCAATAAAAATATTTAACACGTAATACCTAATACGGCTGTGCTGTGTGATGGTGAGGCAGTGAGGGTATGTACGTGTGGGGTGTGCTCATGATGCAGGTGATGAGGTGTCGCTATGGATATTCTTAATACTCCTTTTAGGCATATTCCGCGATTCCTTAAACAAGTCATGGTTTGTGTTGTTCTCATAGGATACTTAGGGTTAGAATTTTGTCTATCTTATACCTTTGTTTTTTTATTAATAAATACATTGCAATAAGATGGGATGGGAGGCATAAAGGTTGCAGTTCCTTACAAATGTTTTCACTTCGGAATCACTTCCTCATAGTAATGCTGACTGGAAGAAATCACTTGTAATTTTATGTTAGGTTCCAGATTAGTTAGTTACGTATAACGATACTAAGAAGAAGACCGAAGTAAACATATATTTTATTAGTTAAAAATTGGTTACGATTGTGTAGGTACAATAAAGTTGATAGTCTTTTGTTTGTGGTATATATAGATTCTCACAATCGTTCCCTACAATTAATTGGTTGTAATATGATCATAACTGGATAAATAGTAAATCTAAGTATGAAAGCCATTTCGTATAAGTTGTATGTTTAATTTTTTTATAAAATTTAAGCAATTTTTTACCACTATTGGACATGTATTGTTGGCCGTGTTGGCCTAGTGGCTTTAGCGTGAGACTCTCATCCCTGAGGTCGTAGGTTCGATCCCAGGCTGTGCACCAATGGACTTTCTTTCTATGTGCGCATTTAACAAGTGCTCGAACGGTGAAGGAAAACATCGTGAGGAAACCGACATGTCTTAGACCCAAAAAGTCGACGGCGTGTGTCAGGCACTGTAGGCTGATCACCTACTTGTCTATTAGATTAAAAAATGAACATGAAATAGATTCATAAATCTGAAGCTAAGACCTAAAGAGGTTGTAGCGCCTCTGATTTATTATTGGACATGTATTGTCCACGAATTTTAATATTAAATATCTATGTGTAAATATTTTTAGAGGACGAGATAGAACGGCCATGCAAATCTCTGGACAATCACTGCGTCAGGAACTGGTTGCATGAGCATTCTAGCTGTAAGAAGACCTTTGGGTCCGTACCGGATCCCCTGCACAGGGTACAGGCCACCCAACAGCTTCCGAGAATTAACCTGACAATGAGTGCAATCGATGTTTCATACAATGGTTTGAATGGAAGAATTGAAGAGTTCTAGTAAGTCAAGCTGACTTATACAAATATTATATTCTGTATTATAATAAAATCGTGCGTTCAGCGAGATACTAGAGTGTCGCACACGTCAGCGGATTTGGAGTTTTTATTTTGGTTTTTTTTATTTTTATGGAGTTTTAGAATACAATTTCCATATAAGGAGTGGTTTATCTTTGGTTTATAATTTTTTTAATAATTTATTTTTTTTATTATTCTAAGAAACAAAAACCCCCAAAACCCCCAAAAGTTTCGCTTTAATATGTTATTTTTACTTAGCTTGTCTTTTTAGTAGCTATTTACCTAGATATGAAATATTTTGGTATCCCATAGAGACTAATCGCTTTTCCGATTCTCCTCTCTCTCTCTCTCTCTCTCTAATTCTCTCTATAAAAACCTTCCTCAGAAATCAAGGGTTAAATAAAAACATACTCGAATCGGTCCGGTCGTCTTCGAGTTTTGCAACATATTTTTCGATTGATACTATATACTCGTAGATTAAAAATTAGTCTATAGTATATTATTATTAATACTAAATTACTACACGGTTTTACTGACGTAATGTATCGCCGATCTACTAAGTGCGTACATTTAAAAAGATAATTTTGTGAATTATATAATAAATTCTCGTTCAAATATCGACCAACTTCACTCTGCGATGGGGCGAAAAAGCATTTTTAACATTCCCTACAAACTCCCTCGCTGATTGCAACTTGAAAACTTTTAGTCCTATACCCATGTCTTATTAAGTGTCCGCTAGATGAAGGGTATCGGGTTCGATTCCCGGTCGGATATTTTTAGTCTATTTCTATGAATTTAAAAAACCTAACCTAACCTAATGTAATTCACTGGAAACTGAGACAATATCATTTACATCATGCATGTAATATCATAATTTTTTTATTTTTATGTTGCCCAAAACCATGCACCCTACTTAATATTACTTGGGGTACTACATACAAGTCGCAAGACTAATTTACCATATTCATTTGTCATTTCAGTGTCAACAGAAAAACTGATCAAGTAGTGTTGGCAGTGGAGTTTCGTAACGTCGTTTTACAAACAAATAACAGCTACTATATTTTCTACCGTCGTGCAAAGGAACCAGTTGTAACCAATGATTTTTATATTGTAAGATTAAGTAAGTTACAATCTATGTATATACTCGTATTGAGCTTGTGACTCTTAACTCTGTTCTTTCGGATCCCCGCTATGCCAATAGAGTATTATTTATGTTTTAAATGCAGCGAGCATTTGTGGACGGTGAAGGAAAATATCTAATAAAAATCGGCGCATGTTGATATAGAAATTTATGGCCTAGACCAAGGGTAACACCACTGATTTGAAAGTTACAAAAACTCCAAAAAATCAATTTAGTGGCCGAAGAGCCCACGTTACATAACAGTATTAAAGATATTAAAATAACAAAAGAAACAACCAAAGCAAAATTAATTAAACTATTAAAAATTTCAGTTCTTATAAAATATGTATAAATAAAAACTTCTGCGTCTAAATATTACTTATCAATAATAATTTCATTGCAATTATACTTTAAATTATTTCATTACCGCCTCAGTGGTTTACGTAAATGGTATATCTAGTCCATGAATCCCCGCGAAGCAATTGATTGCTTAAGATGTTTTAGAAAATGTGTTATTTAAAAAAAAATCCACAGGTTCACTTATTGTGACAGCAACAATACCTCGGATTGACAACTTGAGATACGACAGAAGCGAACACTTCACGTATTCGAATGATCCAACGTCAACATTCATAGTCGGACCAACTAGTTTCGCCCATAGAGGTATAAGATCTACAGATATGACATTTTATGTATTAAGGGCGGGTAGACTATGACTATGAGTAAATTTCTACAATCACCAAGCACATATTTAAAACCTAGATCAGTCCTAGGTCCAAGGTTCAAGGTCTGAATTATGGTTCGCTATAAGTCTCGTTTCTGAATCTTAGCAAATTTCCTCTATCAATATCCGTAACGTTGATTGTTAAACTATTTATGCATTTAATTATAGCAATCTATTTGGACAGAGTTAGTCTCCATAACTCAGAGTTTACCATATTTCTGTCATGAATAAAGTTTTTATTAATACTTATACCAGATCCATTTTTGGTATATTAAATTATCCAAAATAGTATAATTAAAAAGGAATTGAAGAAAATTTCATTCAGAAGTGTAAAAATAAGTGGCAGTGCTGACTTTGTTTTGATGTGTATTTAAACCTTCTTTTAAAAAACTTCAACAGATCCAGTCGTCCAGAGAGTGTTCCTGGCTTTAATATCGAATCTGCCTATCAACGTACGTGAGATTGTCATTAGTGAAGGGCCTTTCCTTATGGCAAACTTTATACAATACTCCTTGTGTGATTTTGGTATCAAAGTTATCTGAGTATTTTCTTAATAAATGAATATGAAATCAATTAGTTCTTTCAATTATTACCTTTCATAATAAGTGTATTATGTTAGCTATACAATGTTGTATCTTTATGGACTTAATTGATGCGAAAGAAAGTTTGTTCTACGCTGTTACTATTTTCGATAGATCTAAGGATGTTAATCCGTGTTCAACTCTCGTTTATGAGGTTGTAAAGTAATATTAATAAGCATTTAGTTTCCCTCGACAAATATACTAAAACACACAAAAGCTCATTCTAAAGGGACAATAGTGTGAAAAATAACAATTCTTTTGCTTCGTAATATATTATAATTGCTAACGTATAAAAATGAAAAATTAAAATTCAATAGCCATTAAAAAGTGCAATATGAACAACGTCTTACTGCCTGTTTGAATGATCACAAAACTCTAAAATCATACTGCAAACTTTATAAGGTAAACAATTGACGACTCATTGGTCTAGTGGTTAGTACCCCTGACTGCGAATCCATGGGTCCGGGGTTCGATCCCCGGCTGAGACGAACATCGATGTGATGAGCATTTGGTGTTGTGCTTAGATCTTGGGTGTTTAAATATGTATTTATATGTCTATCTATCTATAACATTTTATTTTATTTTATTTTATTTTACAATTTTAGGGAAACTTACAGCTAAAAAGGTTCAATAGTATACAATTAACATGATGACGGCCAATTATCAGTTTCCACACTTACACATTATCATTTATCACATCATTACACACCAACGCTCAAAAAACTCTCAAGGCTATATTAAAACTAAATCTCAAAGTATCGGTCACAAAGGGCTTTCTTCGTTGCAGTAACACTTGTGCAGAACAAGTCCAAATTAAGCTCCAGACATGCCACATTAAAAGAACGACATGCTCGCAATAGGTAAGAATTTTTTCTGTATGTAGTTCGTGCTATGGGGACGTACAATAAGCTTGGTCCGCGCAGAAACAATGATGGTGCGTACAGGCCCACCCTAGATAACAGTTCTGGCAACTCAGCCGCACCATTAGGTAAAGACACTAGGAACGTAATGTCCGATATTTTTCTACGCTCAGCTAAAGGCAAAATATGAAACTTTTTGCAGCGTGTATGATAGTCACGCAGGTAACAATTAGATTTAAATTGAATGTACGTACCTAAAAATTTTCTTTGTATACTTTCAAGGCGGTCTATATAAATGTTGTATATTGGGTTCCATACCTGTGAGGCATATTCGAGGTGACTACGAACGAAAGAGCAATATAATATTTTAATGGTTTTAATTTCCTGAAAGTCGGACGAGATTCTTATAATGAAACCTAACGCTTTCGTGGCTTTATTAATGATGCTCTCAATATGCAGATCAAAAGAAGTTTGCTGTCAAATATAACTCCCAGATCTTTGACAGATCCAACTCTTACTAAAATAGAATCTTGAAGTTTATAGGGAAAGGCAATGGGGTGGAGTTTGCGAGTAAATGTACAAATGTAACACTTAGATACATTCAAGTCGAGCCCGTTCAGTACACAATAATTTTGAAAGCGGTCCAGATCTTCTTGTAAAGAGAGTGCATCAGCGACAGAGTTAATCTGTTTCATGATTTTCATGTCATCAGCATACAGTAGAATTTTGGACGACTGAAAACAATGTGTGATGTCGTTAACAAATATATTAAAGAGAAGTGGGCCCAAAAGCGATCCTTGTGGGACTCCTGAAGGTATATATCTAGTTCTTGACGAGTATCCATTCAACACCACAGTCTGACATCGATTCTCTACGTACGATGAGAACCATCTGAATAGATTACCCCGTATACCCATGGAAGATAACTTGCTTAAAAGTATGTTGTGGTCGATTTTGTCGAAACATTTGCTATAGTCTGTGTATATAACATCCACCTGGGATCCATTAGCCATGGAGTCTGATATAAAGTCACTACAGAGGATCAAATTTGACGTAGTCGACCGACCCTTTATAAAACCGTGTTGGTATTCACAAAAGTCCAGTTTCAGTGCTGCATATACTTGTCTGTAAAACATTTTTTCCATAATTTTAGCGAATGCACACAACTTAGATATAGGTCTGTAATTTTCAACGACGGCTTTTGATCCTTTTTTCAGTACAGGTGTTATATACGCAGACTTCCACAAAGTGGGAACTACTCCGGAAGTAAGTGATAATTGGAATAAAATTGATAGTGGTAAAGTCAGGCTATCGGCGCAATTTACTATAAACACTGGTGGAATATTGTCAGGCCCCGGTGACTTGTTTAGATCCACATGTTTCAAGAATCTATATACTTCATCCCTATTAATTTCTATTGACCCGATATCAGTGCCGAAACAAGCAGCCCCCTCGGGTACGGTCTGTGTGTTGATTGGTGGTGAGTTGTTATTGACAGCGCTCGGTTCCAAAAAATTTGAATAAAAGTAGTCGCTGAACATGTTGGATATAACATCCCCATCCCCAGATGAATGATTTCCATACTGTAGTACAGAGGGATAGCAATTGGACTGCTTTTTTGATTTTACATAAGCCCAAAAAGCTTTAGGATTGCGCTTTATGTTTGATTCTATACCAGATATATAATTGTTAAACAACTCTTTTTCTAAATCTTTCACTCTCTGTCGTAAAACGACAAATGAATGATGATCCGAGAGGTTTTTATATTTTTTAAACTTTAAATGATATTTAGCTTTCTCCTTTATTATTTTGATTAGAGAGCTATTATACCAGACTGGGAATTTTGACTGTATGGTTACAATTCTTGATGGAATGTGGATGTTACGCTGGTCGTTGATAGTGTCATAGAAATACGATACAGCATCTTCAAAGGATCTACGCCTCAGTTCATAGTCCCAGTTCACGGAATCCAAATTTCGTTTTATGGCATTGTAATCGCCCTTGTTGTACAAATATTGTAAGCGAGGACGAGTGGGTAGGCTGTGCAACTGAACGAACTCGACCGAAATGCAAAGCGCTTTATGTTGGGGATCTTCGCATACCAGGGGATCAGCGCAGCAGGTAACAGAAATATCGTTATTGGATAGTACAAGATCCAAAATCCTATCGTGAATATTGTGGAAGCAATTATATTGTGAAAGATTACAGATATTCAAATTGTCTATAAAATTCCTTTGAACATCTCCCTGTATGTCACTCGGATAGAGAGAAGAGAGATCATTTGTCTGACACCACTTAATATTCGGTTGATTAAAGTCGCCAAGTATTAAAAATGCATCAGAAGGATATTTCAGAACAAGGTCAGCCAAACTATAAGAAAAATTATTCAATTGAACTGCTGATGTATTGCCCAAATTTTCGTTACAAATGTAGACAACACAGATGTGTATTTTATAAGAAATTTTAGGCTTTCTATGGTTCAATGTAAGCGTGATCTATAGGTCCTCTGCAGACGAGCGCCAGTCATGTCGAACATCAGCAGGTATTTCTCTCTTAACAGCTATTAAAACCCCTCCTCCCTTCGATTGTTCGGTAGCAGCATAATTACGATCTCGTCTCCAGACAAGATACCGATTATCGAACAACTCGGAATCCGAGATACCCTCCAAAAGCCACGTTTCAGTAATACATATAATATCATAGTTATTAACACACACATTTCTGTAAAAAGTACTCGTTTTTGTTCGTAGCCCCCGAACATTTTGGTAGAAAATATTAAGCGGAGCCATTGCAAATATTCTCATAAAATACAACACAATAATAAATATGTGGGGTGCATTCTAATCGATGTGAATAAATATATTTCCCCACCAATGAAATGCAAATAAGCACCTTACTAGTATACAAGTTAAGTAGAATAGTTAAACTGCACAAGTATGAGCAAAAATAAAATATTAAATTATTGAAATAAATGTTTGTAAGCCTTACCAAGCCAGAAGCAGTTCTAATTCTAAGGAAATAATGTCTATAACATGTATGTATATCCGTTGCCTAGTACCCATAACACAAGCTTCACCAGCTTAGCATGGGACAACGTCAATTGGAGTGAATTGTCTTTAAAAAAAATCTATAATAGAACCAACATGGCTGGACAAACAAGCAAGAGTGAAGAGACATATTTGTGAGAAGAACGCATTTGGAGACCTATGCTCAAATGGAAGACAATCCACGGGGCCATATTATATTACGTATAATATATTATTATTTAATTGTATTAAAGTCTATTTTATATTATTATTGAACCAAACAAGAGATCGCTCGAAAGCGATAAGGCCCTCGCCTTTATTATTTAATTTTAACTGTACCGATTTTTGCAACGAAATGTCAAAAGAACATATAAAACTTGGAAATTGGTTTAACATACTAGTATACATAACAAAGTAAGAGTCAACGCCATAAGACCGGCTTACGGCGGACACAAATAAAAAAATAAATGTTTGTATGTTTATTCTTTATGAGTGATAAATTAAATTTTTTTATTAGATTTGGGGAAACTTTTAAGCAACATATACCTGTGTCAGGGCTCCCCTGCAAACTATTCTTTTAACAATAACTCTTATTTTTAACAATTACAATAGATGTTTGTATTGCTGCAAATGTGAGTATATACGTGTGTGTGTGGAGCTATATGGTAGGTCTTAGTAACATCTCAAATTCTCCATAAGTTCTCTGTTGGAGTACTCTGTAATCCCACTAGCAATGCCAACTTAATAACTGAGTTTTCCCAAGATTGTTATCAGCTACGGATATTTAATACATATATAAAATAGTGTATAAAAACTTACGATAACCCCCCCAAAATTTCCCTTTGGGTTTGAACCCCCCCTTCCCCCCCCCCCCCCCCCCGCCGTTTTTTTTTTTTTTTTTTTTTTTTTTTTTTTTTTTTTTTTTTTTTTTTTCCCCCCCCTTGGGGTTTCCCCCCTTTTTTTTTTTTTTTTTTTTTTTTTTTTTTTTTTTTTTTTTTTTTTTTTTTTTTTTTTTTTTTTTTTTTTTTTTTTTTTTTTTTTTTTTTTTTTTTTTTTTTTTTTTGGTGGTTTTATATATATATTATAAGTTTTTATACTAAAGATCTATATACTTTAGTGTCATAAAAACTTACTATACCGATCGAAATATTAGGCTCAGTGATCACTCCTGGACAGTCCGTGACCAGTTTTCCTAGCTTAATAGATAATTACCTAATTAGAGAAGTAAATTTCTGTTAAAATTGTTATTCTATAACTGTATAAGTAAATGATAAATATGGAAATCGCTTTTAGGAGATACTAAGTACCAGCTCTGGACTCTGCTGCGATTCTTTATTGGGTACAGCTTCTAATGCGCAGAGGCGATGAGAACTTGGAGAAACAGAAGACAAAAGTCGTGGCCGTTTATCAACCAGATGTACTGATCAAGTGAAAGACTCATCGTCCTCAAAACTGTATAGTTAAAGAGAGGCGCTGGACAGAAACCGGTGGAATAAGATTGTACGCTAAAGAAGTTTCCTTGATGACCACGACGCTGAGACATGAGCTACCGACGACTGACGATAGAGAGACAGTCTCTACGGATAAACCTCGACAGTTAAATAAAAAAATCTTAATTAGACAAATGCTTTAGCGTGATAAACAACTATAAACCCTATATTAAGTCAAGGCACACTGTTAAAAAAATTGTTGATAAAAATAATTACGTACATGCGTTTACACATAAATTTGTTATGATTACCTCCAATTATCAATAATCAATCCTAAAAATTATTGTAAATTTATGTATTGAGAAATAATTATATGAAAATAATCGCTAGACTAATAATTGTATGTTTAAATTCTTGTTGACCTATAACACGAAATCTCATAACTGTAAGGGGCATGGTGTACGAATAAGCTTAAAAAAATAAATACAAAATTCCACCCGTATCACCTCGACGTTCGTCATTACAGTTTTTGCCACCATGCGGCTACCCACTTAAATATTTCTGAACCACTTCTACTTAAGGTCCTTCAATAAAAGAACGTACAAATACTTAAAAAATGAGCAGTGTTGACCTAGTGGCTTCAGCGTGCGACTCTCATACCTGAGGTCGTAGGTTCGATCCCCTTCCTGTGCACCAATGGACTTTCTTTCTTTGTGCGCATTTAACTGCTCGAACGGTGAATGAAAAAATCGTAAGGAAACCGACCTGCCATCGACCCAAAAAGTCGACAGCAGGCACTTGCCTATTAGATTCAAAAATGATCATGAAACAGATTCAGAAATCTGAGGCCAAGACCTAAAAGAGGTTGTAGTGTCACTGATTTTTTTTTGAATACTTAAAAAGTCGGCAACGCACTCACGAGCCCCCTGGCATTGAGAGTCCATGGGTGGCGGTAATATAAAAAAGAAACCGTGGTTGTTACTAAAGATACAGCTCATTCCTTGGCTACAAAATTGGCGCTGGTAACTGGGCCTTGAGGAATCGTATATTTTTATGGAAGAAAATTAGAAAAAGGTGGCGCTAAAAGAAGACTATGTTAAAAATGCATGCATGCAATAAATAAATAAAAAAACTACGGGTGAAAAGAAGAAGAAGCAGAAGTGAAAACTTGAATATATTTAACGTTGTGCATTTTTGATATTTTGGAATGGTTAGGGAATAATTTTGCACGAATTGCTTTAATTATCAGTATAAAAATACTATCATTTATGTGGTAGAATACAATATTTATTTATTGCGCTATCGTACACAAACATGACAATTTATATTACATTAAATACGCCGCGCCAGTTGTCTACTATCCATCCGTCTTACGAATTTTAGATCAGGTCACGTGTCCTGACGCGAGTTTAACATTTTTTACCCATTCCAAAAAAGTGTACAACGCCGCTAAAGATGTTTTCACTTCAAAAAATTTTATTCAAAAAGTCACTGACTTATAAAACCACCCCCTGCATCTCTATAAAGTACTACTCGTAGATAAGTGACAGTACTTCGACCGTATAAAAAGTACATCATTATTTAATTAAACGCTTATTGATTAATTGCCTAGCATGCAGATTAATTGTTCTTACATGCGATGCTCATTATAAAGATATATTAAGTACTTTTTTCTAGTTTACTTGATTAATGTTGTTTCAAGCAAAATGTGGTTTGCACTCTGTCTTGGGTTAGTAATTGGTAGTTTTGCACAAGATTACAAATCATTAGAGTCTGGTAAGTAGGAAATTGAGAATATTTTTTTATATTATCGTAGAAGTTACTTAAAAAATATTAAAGCCCAAATAAAAATGTTAATTTCTGTGTATAAGACATGATTCCTATGAACCTATGTATTGCGATGTTTCAGCGTATCAGCAAACGATTACACCAATTCAGATTGTGTAATCGCACGCGATTCATTTGTACTTATTAAATAGAAGACTGGGTCATTCACTGATTATAATATAATTCACTAGCTGTCAAACAATTTCTTCCCGTTTTTTGAAATATTTTTATTCATGCTCACCTCCTATTGGTAAAAGCGTGATCTAATAAATAAACGATCCAACACAAAAATATTATATTATTTTAAATCATATAAGTAGTTTTAATATTAAGTGCGAAATAGTGGTAAGTGGGAAACATTCATTTCACACACATAGTGTCCCCCCTTAATAGAGACTGTTAAATACTTTATCTTTATTAGATATTTAGGTAAGACTTAAATTACTTACTAATCTAAAGTTAGGCTAGAATGTAATGTCTGAGAGAGAGACATAACAAAAAACAGTAGTTCCTGAGATTAGCAAATAAATAAATTCATCTGCTTAATAATCATAGTAATAGGCAGTCATTATTTGTATTGAACTTTTTCTTCTCAGGATTAAATTTCAATTTGCCATATCGTGATGTATTGGATAATGCTGGAAATGTCGACAACATTCAAAGTAAGTACATGTGTGTATTTATCGACGTAAAATACAAATAAAATAAATACAAATTCAAACTTGTCAAGCTCCATCAAGAAACACTGTAAGTTTATTTAAACCGAAGTCTATTAAATAATTTATATTTAAATATATAGCATAAGGATGTCGCAGTTTTGGAATTATTATGTGTTAAAAAATAATTCAAATAATAAATCACTATTTTATTTCAGAAACGAACCAAGACTTTCCTTCTTTGACTGTATCTGATCTAAAAAATGTAACAGATATTGAGAATGTTATCGAACAACTAAATGAGATTGTTAGAAACCAGGATGATTCAGGTAAGTTATTTTCGTTCAACTTAACTAAAAAAATAGTCTACTTATAGTTGGGACAGATACAACTTTTTTTTTTTTTTTTGGGGGGAGGAGAGCGGGGGGGGGGGTTTTTTCCCCCCCCCGCGGGGGTCAGGGTGGGGGGGGGGGGGGGGCCCCCCCCTTTTTTTTGTTTGGGGGGGGGGGGGGGTTAGGAGGGGGGGGTTTTTTTTAAAAAAATTTTTTTTTTTTCTCCCCCCCCCCTACAAAGGGGGGGGGGGGGGGGGGGGGGTCCCTCCCCCCCCGGGGGGGCTGGGGTTCCGGGGGGGGGGGGGGGGGGGGGGGGTCCCCCCTCAAGGGGGGGGGGGGGGGGGCCCCCCCCCCCCCCTCCTTTGGGGGGGGGGGGGGGGGGGGGGGGGGGGGGGGGGGGGGGGGGGGGGGGGGGGGGGGGGGCCGCCCGCCCGCCGGGGGGGGGGGGGGGGGGTTTTCCCCCCCCCCCCCCACCCCAAAAAAAAAAGGGGGGGGGGGGAACGCCGGCCCGGGGGGGGCGGGCCGGGGGGGGGGGGGGGGGGGGGGGGGGGGGGGGGGGGGGGGGGGGGGGGGGGGGCGGGGGGAAAAAAAAACCCGGGGGGGGGGGGGGGGAGGGGGGGGGGGGGCCCCCCCCCCCCCCGGCGCGCCCCCGGGGGGGGGGGGGGGGGGGGGGGGGGGGGGGGGGGGGGGGGGGGGGGGGGGGGGGGGGGGGGGGGGGGGGGGGGGGGGGGGGGGGCCCCCCCCCCCCCCCCCCCCCCCCGCCGGGGGGGGGGGGGGGGGGGGGGGGGGGGGGGGGGGGGGGGGGGGGGGGGTCGCCGGAGACCCCCCCCACCCCAAAGAAAGGGGGAAAGGAAAAAAAAAAAAAAAAAAAAAAAAATAAAAAAAAAAAAAAAAAAAAAAAGACAACTCGTAGAACGTCAATCGTCAAAAATATTCAGCAAGAGCTGTCAAACTAATTTCCTACATAAAGTTTGACAGCTGTCAATGACAATCCGTCATTTATCATAGTGATTTTTCACATTAGGTTTAATACGTTTTACATTTTGAGAATAAATTTGAAAAAATCTCAATAAAGTGACAACAATCAATGATTTTCCATATTGTTCCTCACGCAGGCTTGCCTGTTTTGTTTTGCACAAGAAATTTTGTTACCCATGTTTAATCGAGTGTCAAAGAAAATAAAATATTCTAACAAATGCTTTTTCTAAAGCTTACGTTTCCTAGAAAAGCGGTGCCGTTAACATCACATCATTTTACGGTTGTTAATAACGGCCGTCTTTACTTTTTAACATAATGCAAAAAAACATCATTTTCGCTAGTCCAAGTCACGTTTCCACTCATTGTATTATTTAAATATGGGCACCGCTACACGCGCAAAACGTTAAACTAATGTTTATCACCGCTATGACGGCCGTCATGCAAATGACAGCACCGCTATTTGACGTTACGGTGACACTCAACGTTCCTCGGAAACCTACTCCGATGTTATTTATAGACAACGTATGGGTGACGTCACCCAACGCTACATTACGGCCGTTAGATAACGGCACCGCTTTTCTAGGAAACCGTAGCTTAAGGCGTAGGATGTTCTTTTCTTATTGGCTATATTGCACAATAATGTTACCTTATGTAATAAATTATTTTTTTAAGATTATTTTTTTTTAGATTTTTAATTTAAGATTCTAACTAAAATATACAAATTGACTTCCTGAAATGAAAGCTTTTATATACGATTTATTTTATGTATAAAGCAGACCCACGGAGTTCCTTGAGTCCTCTTCAAAGATGCGTTTTAATAGTCTTAACACCACGTGTGAAGTTATTTTCCTTTATTTCAGATGAAGACGAGTACATTGAAAGGCCATGTCGTGTGTTCGATCCTGAATGTATCAGATCGTATTTCGCTGCTCATGGGCATTGTAATAAAGTAGATGGTACTGTGCCAGAACCATTACACAGATCAGCATCAACTGGTTACTTGCCACGAGTCAATTTGACAGTGACTTTGGTGAACGTTGACTATTATGGACTTAATGGACAGATAGTTGAGTTTTAGTAAGTAATGTGAAAAGTTTTTAATCGACTTCAGAAATGGAGGCTTTTACGTATATGTATGATGATCTATATCAGCGTAGAACCTGTGCAAAATTTTGTGTTTGTCCACAAAATTGTCGGAAAGTAAAAATCATTTCGAAATGACTTAAATATTATTGCAATTACGAATACACTACAAGCTTCTTCAAAACTGGTTGAGTAGTTTTTGATATTGCTATGCATTTGTGAAGGGGACATTCTATACAAATATTCTTGACAGGTATTTGAAGACGATTTTGTCGAATACTAGTATTTTTCTGCAATGTATGAGAGTGCCAAGTGTACAAGAATTGTTGATAAAATAACGAAAAATCATACTTACGCATTTTGTGTAGCTTGCTGTCAACGTTCCCCCTTTGACCAAATGAACACATACGATGCTAAAGTTATCAATGTTATTTGTATAAATAGAGTTGTTAAATTGTGTGTGTCTGTTCCAATTTTAAAAATACTGGCGCAAGTAAAATATAATATTGATTTAATAGAAACATCGTCGTGCATGAGACCAAAACACTTATTCCGGGAATAACTTATTAAGTTGTATAGATTCCAGCCTTGTGATTCTGTAACTCACTTTTCGAAACGACCGCCGATGCGAAAACCGCTGTGTGAGTTCGAAAAGTGAGTTACAGAATCGCAAGGCAGGTTATAGTGTATTTTGCCAACTAATCTTAGTGTTTAATATTAAACGTAAAAAATATAATCCAGGTATCACCAATTTTCAGTTTTGTCAACCCGTACGTATTTTTGGTCATGGAAGAGTGAAATATAATCTAATCGTCTAAATTTCTTCCAGCATCAATAAAAAACAAATAAACTGGTGTTGGCAGTTCAGATGAGTAATATAGTATCGTTTGTACGGCCAGCCTATTTTAGGTTCCACCGTCGAGCTCAGGAACCGATCGTGCGTAGCACACCAGCGAGGGTCCAGTTTGGTAAGGAATCCATATAAAAAAAGGGTGCGTGTACTTATGTACGCGCGTAAAAATTTATACTTTTTTGGCATTATTAAAAATAGTTTTTGATTGCATGAAAATAATTAATTACAATTAAATAATCAAAGACTGGAAAAGGAGTCATTATAGTCAATAAAGTTCAGTTTACATTTGAAAAATTAAATAAATAAATATTTATTATTATTCTCTTACATTAAGTGTAACATAAATTCTATTATTATTCGAATGTTGTTTTTAAATTATTTCCAATGCCGTAGCATCTTCCCTGGGCAACTTCATTCTGTTAATTTAGTGTCACGGTGCGCGCGTATCGTAAAATTTCACTCTCATCAATTTTTCATAACGCGCCTAAAGAATGAAATGTATTGAAAATAAAAAAATGTATAACTTCAAAAATATGCTGTTTAAAGTTCATAAATTAACCTGAATTATTAAGTTTATGTCTATTGACAGAAGAAAGAAAAATATACACCTATTATTCTTTAAAAAAGACACCTTGGTATTAAGAATTCAATTATGTTTAATTACTAATACTTCATAGACAAGAAAAGATGCATGGACAAAAGTATGTGCTGCCTGTCATCGAACATTCAAATTGTCTATTCATCTGTCAAAATAGCAATTGTTTTTTTCTAAATTGTTTCTTTTCAGCCATTACACCGACAATTATAATACCGAATTTGAACGACCTTAGACTGGACCGAGCCGAGATATTCTCGTATATTGAATCTCCTTCTCCCATAACGACGGTGAACCCCCTGGCTTTTGCTAGCACAGGTATACAAATTGTTTTGATACCTATAGACGATCTTTTCCTAAATTACGTTGAACGTGAGACGCCTTTTCAAATTAATTAATACCTTAGCCATATTGTTCAGGAATTACACTGTCCAGTCTTTATAACTCATTCGTTATAACGAAAAACTCTCTATAACTCACAAAAGATATAATTTGGTTGATATAATACAAAACCCATACATTAATTCAGTGTTTATAACGGAACAGCCCCTCTCTATTACGAACTAATATTCATATTTAGACATCAACAACATACTTAAGTGTAATTGCTTTTATAATCAGCTTACAAAACTAACCTTTTGAGGTGCCGAAATTTTTAAGAAAGACACCTGAGGTCATAAACAGCCGTCTCGCCTTTGTTATTGTCAATTGCATTAACACGTGTGCCATTATTCTTAGATTACATTGCCCGTAGGTAATTTTGGTCTCAGTTACTAAACACACCATCGTCACCTATCGTATTTGAGTCGTTAACAAACTTTGAAACTGTCAAGATGGCTAGCAAAAGAAAAGCCGTATTAAGTTAAAAAAAAATTTTTCTCTTTCTTCCCTATAACGAAAAAACAGGCTCAGTCCCTTGCAATTCGTTATAAAGAGCTTATACTATACAGTCAAACCTGGATAAGCGAGAGTTCAAGGGAGCACAATCTCATTCTCGCTAATAGAGGTTTCTCACTAACACGAGTTTCTCGCTAATGCCTGTACATGGGTAGCGTTTCTCTCTTATAAGGGTACGCAGCAATAACAAGTCACAGCAAGTACGAATGTAGTAAATATGTAATATGATAAAATTATGTGCATAATGTGCACAACATTATTATGTACATAGATATTTTATTTTATTTAGATCTTATTTACACTTTAAAAAATCCTGAATGAATGAAAATGTCAAATTTGTAATTTGTTACTGTACGTATGTATGTTTATTGTAGCTATAGTTCCTCCTAAATAATATAAATAAATTAAAGCTCGACTGTCGCCTATAGAGGTATAGATAAGTAGCAGTCTCACTTATGTCCATGGGGGAGGTCCATGAGGGAAAAACGACTCTCTTTTACAGAGGTTTCTGATTCTCGCTAATAGAGGTTTTGGGAGCTTAAAATGACGGGTCCCGGCTATTACTCTCAATTATAGAGTTTTCTCACTTACCCAGATTTGACTGTATTTGTCTATTTCGTATTTTCGTCTATGGACATATTATGTATTATAATTTTTTAAACTCCAAAAAAACATATCATATACATTATACAGTGTACTGAGAGGAAATATAAGAATTAAATTACAAATATGGGGCTCGATTTTTAGACCTCTTCATGTTCTCTTCTCTTTGTATTCAGTTAATGAAATAATCTATAATGGTGTAAAGTTTCACAGATTACAAACAATAGTGAACGCTTTTTCTACGGTATGATTGCAATGATTGTTAAAATATCGTGAATTAAATATGTCTTGACTAAGAAAACTTGACGAAGTACCTAGATTGATATTTATGTTTCAGATAACGTGTTTTTTTTAATAATTCGAGTTCAATCTCCTAAAACCGGTATTACAATATACCTAAAGCATTTATACACCTACCTCGTGGCTTATGTATTAAAGTGTAATCTTTTAATATTTCAGATTTAATCGTGGAACGAACTGTAGCGGAGTTCTTCGTAGATCGGCCAGCAAATCAAATCGAGGAGTTGTATTTGGAGTCTAATTTCTTCATAATTAATTTTATTCAATACACTCTATGCGATTTTGGACTTAAGCCATCATAACTCCAAGATATATAATAAATAATTATGAATTCAAACTTTTTATTTTTAATCGACTCCAAAATTTAAATCTCAATCTCAATATGCCGTTTTGTGTTTTAAAAAACAGTTTCGCATCTAAGTAATCTCAAAACAGAAGAAACAAATTTTAAGTATCACAAAGAACTATTTATTACTGAATTAAATGAAAATGTTTGTTACTGTGATTAAATTTTCAAAATAAGTAAGTAGTCTATATCAACAAAGAATCCATAGAATTTTAAGTGATAAGATTCCATAACACAGCGTAATTTAATATTTAAAAAGTAGGGACGGTTTGAATATCCTCGTACCTGTGTAATCTATGGCTGGATTCCTCCTTTAGTATCAAAACTTAACAAATATTGCTTTTCAAGATTCTCTAAACGCTATCTAAACAACAAGGATATCTTTATTTCACTAATTATTTATATTCTCTCTCTCCTCACGATAAGAATTTCCAGTTGGTTGCTTGGCAAAGAAAGCTAGAGCAAAACTTATTAATACGCACAGCAAACATGCGTTTAAAATCAAAAATAATTAAATAAATCAGCGGTGCTACAACCTTTTTAGGTCTGGGCCTCAGATTTCTGTATATGTTTCATGATCAGTCAATTTTATAGGCAAGTAGATGATCAGCCTGTTGTGCCTGAACCTCAGGGATGAGCTGAAGCCACACTGCTCTGCGTGATTAAATACTTCACACTTCCCGACAAATTCCCTTAAAACTTTTATCTATTATCGCTACCCGATATCGGACTCCTAATTCAATATAATTAACGAAAGGAAATACATACTTATAATTATAAATTAATAAACACATAATTAGTATGTAGATCTAAAATAAAACAAAAGGATTTGCACAATTACGCTTATACAATTAGAAACAAAAACTAATTGACATGAACATCCTTATTAATGATTATGCATAAAAACCACATCTACATTTTAAATTGAGGATTTTCAACTTTGATTTTATGTTAAACGTTATGGGTAACGATTTAGAAATACGTCGCCCGAATTTGATGATACTGATTAAGTAGGTGTCACGGGGGACCTTGATTGCAACACCTCCAAGTGATTTTTACTACCGGAGTTGCGTCTAAGTATTAAATTTTTTTTAAATTTCGTGTAATGTATTGAAATTCGTAAGCAAACAGTACATTTTCTACTTTCCTATAGAGATGTGACATTCCGCATAAAACATAGATTTTTAATTAATCGATTGCTTTTTAGCATGAAAAATCGATGAATAAAAAGTAATCGACTTTTCTTTATTTATCGATTATTTCCTATTTTTTTTTTTAAAGTTTTAGAATCTCCCTCCCACCACTTTGGAGGTGTTCAATCAAGGTCCCCCCGACACCTAATAACCAGACATCAAATTCGGGCGGCGTAATTCTAAATACAACCCATCAATAATTATATATCCTGTTAAATAATGTTTATGTATTGTTAATGTAAATTAAATTGATTATAAGTATACACGCGAAGTACTATTAGGAGTTTAATCTTTATCGATCATTGCATGTGAGCTGCAGGATGAACATAATAATTCATTTATTTTTATTAAAAAGTGTTTTCGGCCAAGATTGGATTTCTAAGCCAGGTAAAGTTTTTTTTATATACGACCTGGATACAAGGCTATTGGCCGAGATTAAAATTAAATAGTGTAATGTTGCCCCATTCTTGCATTATTATTATTATTATGTATATAAACACACTAGCAGCTCAATAAGCTGATGCGCGTGTATTTTGAGATTTGGAGAAACTATCCAATTTTTTTTTAAAGGAGTTCAGAGATGGTGCACTGATTACACTTTCCGGAAGCCTATTCCAGTCGGCCACTACTCGGTTTGGGAGAAAGTTCTTTAGGGAATTTGTGTTATGTTGAGTGGTCTTAAGTTTTAAAGAACTACCCTCAAATGTGTATTTTCACCTTAAATAAAGAGAATGAAAAATAAGAATGTTAAGTTGTTTTTCGTAACTTTTATATAAATAAACAAATCGGTCCAAAACAAACTACATATTTACGTAACTCAGTCATGGATCGTATACTTTCAGATTATAACACAAATTACCAGCAAAAAGATATATATGAGGAAACCAAAAATGCTTAAAAAATCAAACAAAACACTCTGGTATTCTTTATTAGACATAATGGCTTTCTATATACTATTTACAATATAAAAGAAGAACATTCTTTTATATTGTAAATAGTATATTGATCAATGCATGTTACGAGTTAGTATATATATATGTATATATATATTTTTTTGTATATTGTAGGTAATAATTGTTAACCGTGCCTCGTGTTCATGATTGAATCTGTTGTATAATAAGTAGCTGTAGGTATACTGATATGCAAATAAATAAATAATTATTTTCTTTATAGGAATAGATCTTCTAACTCTTTATAATAAGCAGTATGACAATATTGATGGACCAAAAGACCCAATAGAAGATCTAACTTCCTCAAGTAAAAATGGTAAGACTACTGTTCGAAGTTACGGAGTACCAGTGCTGTGTCTGTTATCGTATTGATAATAGTTACTTCAGAGCAGTGTTGGCCTAGCGGGTTCAGCGTGCGACTCTCAATTCTGAGGTCGTAGGTTCGATCCCCGGCTGCGCAATAATGGACTATGTGCGCATTTAACATTCGCTCGAACGGTGAAGGAAAACTTCGTGAGGAAACCGGCTTGCCTTAGACCTAAAAAGTCGATGGCGTGTGTCAGGCACAGGAGGCTGATCACCTACTTGCGTATGACAAATGATCATAAAACAGATTCAGAAATCTGAGGCCAAGACCTAAAAAGTTTGTAACGCCACTGATTTTTTTAAATAGTTACTTCATGTCAGTACAAATTAAATAGGATTATTTTACGATATATTTAAATTTTCAGGTATAGACATATTATCTCTTTATCATGGACAAAGGGATGGATCGAACAATACCGATTTAATTGAGACCATACAAAATCTGGCTGAATTAGGAAATAATGGTAAATTCCAATTTTTTATAAAAGACAAATTATTAAGATTGGCTAGTTTCTGTTACTTAATAAAATTAAGGCGAAATAAAACGACAAACACCGTCCATTTAATCCGACTTAAAAAATATTATTTGAGTATGATGATATATTTCGGCTTTCAAGCATATATATGTATGTTTGTCCATAAGTCTCGTAGAAATTAAGTATAATTTATTATTGGAACACAATTATATAAATTATAACTTGAAGCAAATGCAAAAACTTCAAGGTACTGTAATATTTTATAGTGTGTTTAAATTTAAAGTTATCTGTCGCCAGTCGCCACGGTATAAACAACTTTCCGAACCGGAGAACCAAATTCAAAATGTATTTTGAATAAAGTCTGCTTTAATTCAACTTTAAAATTTTGAATTCATAAATCATAGATTAAATAAACCTTCATGCTTTTCATCTTTTAAGCTCCGCAAGACGACACAGACTACATTGAACGACCCTGCAGGATATTCGACAAAAACTGTATACGTCGATATTTCGCCGCTCATAGTCTGTGCACACCTAAGTACCAGGCAGTTCCAGACCCAGTCTACCGAAGCCAATCCACCTTCTACTTGCCCAGAGTAAACGTTACAGTAACTCCTATTGATATCTACTACACAGGTGCTACGGCCAGGATAATAGAATTCTAGTAAGTGCTCTTTGGTAGCCTTTCCACGCGTTATTCAAAAACGGAGTAGTTAGGATCGCGGATTTACCTGAACTGATATTAGAGAGAGAGAAGATACAGAGTATCAACGCTGGGTTTAAATTTAGAATAAAAAACAGGAATGCATATGTAACCGATATAGTCTGTGGACAAACAATTGAATAAATGAATCATTATCTTCTAAATTTCAGCGTAAACAAGAAAACGAACCGTCTTCTTTTGGCTTTTACTTTTACGAACTTCACAACGAGTACTGACAATAGTTATTTTAGATTTAACCGTCGTGGTAAAGAGCCCGTTGTTACAAGATCATCTGTCGATGTTCAATATAGTAAGTATAACTTTTAACAGATTCGTATTAAAATCGGTACGGTCACAGAATCTATATTAATATAAAAATGAATTCCAAAATATGCTGCTAAGCGCATAACTCGAAGACGGCGGGACTAATTCCGGTATTTTTTATTTATTCCTTCCAACCTGAGAAGGTTTTTATGGAGAGAAAATTTGGAAAAACCAGCCAGTTTCATAGAAAAATCATATCATCGTGAGCTCTAGTTACAATATAATAGCACAATTTTTGAAGACCTGGCAGCTGGAAACACTGTAGAATAAGGTGTAATACGCTTTGTTGGACTTCGGGGACCGACATTAAGGCAGAGCTTGTTTTAAAATGAAAGCAATATTCGGCAAACACACGTCTTATCAGAATTTGACTGAACTTTTTTCTTTTGTATTTTACTTATGTACTTTTTTATTTTGAGCACATTTTGTATTCTTTTGTTTTATTAACTTCCAGATAGACCCTGATGGTGACGTTCATCCCACTAATCTATCGTGTTCTACCTTGTTTTTGGTTAACGCGAGTAAAAACTTCTTTAACTTATAATATCTCGAAAATATTAAATTTTCGTATCAAGTGCTTTTCAGTTTTCATCAATCGCGGTCAACTGAAGGCAGTCACACCAAGTTAACTAATAACTCTTTGACAAAAAAAATAGTGGCTAACTAAATCTAAATTAACTGGCGTTAACTAGATGGCTCTAGTTCCGCGAAATTGGTTTTATAAACTTTTTCTTTTGGAGTTTCTTGCCCATTCTTCTCCACACGAAACTACCTTTTGGAAGGGGCAACTAGAATCATCTTTATATTTTTTTTTTTGACGTTCAAAAGTGCCATTTTAGATGGTCTAATTGAAATAAACGATTTGACTTTGACTTTGACTTTATTGGCTGCATACAATCAATCTGCTTTATCAATGAATGTCTTCGTGTAGTTTTAAAAAGCTCATTATAGATGTGACGGAGTGTGTAGAGCAGTGTTTGCCTAGTGGCTTGAGCGTGCGACTCTCATTCTATTAGGTTCGATCCCCGACTGTGCACCAACGGATTTACTCTTTATGTGCCCTTTTAACATTCGCTCGAATGGTGAAGGAAAACATCACAAGGAAACCGCACAGGAGGCTGATCTTAACATGCCTAATAAATTTACAAATGAAACAGATACAGAAATCTTAGAACTAGATTTAAGTTATGTATCATAAAGGTGCAACTGGTTTGTTTTTTATAATGTACACTAATACTTTTTTTATTACAGTTTCCCTAACCGCAACAGTGACAATTCCTAATTTAAGCAATCTAAGGCTTGACAGGAGTGAAATGTATTTATACTCAGAAGACATCAACCCAGGGCTTCGAGTTGACCTTTCTATATTCGAAAGCACAGGTTTTCATTCCTATTTTAAATCTTTTCATCCGGGTTCTATATTCAAAGACGAAATGAACTGTAGATTGTTCTATAGAAACAAATGATGGTGAAAATGTAATTTTCAGTTATATATTTCAAATAAGCATTTTGTTATTTGTCACAGTTCAGGGCATGGGCTAATATTTTAACTTATTGCATTTTAGTAATACTATTTTTGTTAATTCAAACATTTACATAGATAATTGTCGTCGTAATTTATATCGAAATCAATTTGGTATTAGGACAATTCCTATGAATTGTTTATAAATATTTCCATTTATCTTAAATATTCGTAAATTGCCTTTTTTAATAAAACTTTCGTTTCAGAACTGAACGTGCAAAGATCTTTAGTGGAATTCCTACTACGACCGGATGTAAATTTACAAGAAGCTTTTCTGATTGACGCTAACTTCTACGCCAACAGTTACATACAGCAGTCTATCTGTGATTTTGGATTGATACTCTCATAATTATATATTTGTCTCGCCTTTTTCTCCGTTTTTTTCTCTAAATGCATTAACCCATCAGTTTGATATTATCTATGAAAAAATTTTTTAGGACGCATGTTTATTAATTATATATTTTTTAAACACTGTTGAATTTTGTCAAATTGCCTTTTAGTAAATGCATACATTTTTATTAATTGGCTCTAAGTTTAGGTACCATTCTACGCGTAACTATAAATGTTTCCAAGTTACAACGAATTTATAAAAATATTGTGCATTGGAATAAATAATTGTCCTTAGTATTTAAAATACATCAAAACCAAAAGAATTTTATTTAATAAAACTGTCTCGTCATTATATTACTAATTAATTTCAAATTTTAAACATTAAAACCGATGTTTCGCGTGCAAGCAACCAGGGTCACGGGACGGGTACTGTGTAAGGCATCATTATGTAAAATCTTGTGTAATTTTTGTTTTAAAAACAATTTTGCTGCGTCAAAGATATAATCACTATTATGACAAAATTTAAATATCGTAGGTCTAAAATACTTAAAATGTTAAGTTGAAATCTATAAAAAATATGGAGAATATCATAATATGACTCACCTAAATAAAACTTTAAACTGGGCTACTATTTTAAGTTTTTTTAAAGAAAGCACTAAACAACGTATTCACGACAAAAGTTTTTCGCGATTACGTGAAAATTCGCAACTAAAGATACATCCGTCTAACGCGACAATCCGCGGTCAACTGAATATATTCAGCTTTCCTCTGCTTGTCTCCACTTTCATGAAATGAACTGAAAGCGGTTACATTTTAAAATAACAGCCTAACCGCCATTCAATGTTCAATGTATTTTGAACTGAATAAACAAGATTTAAGGTATAAAATTGCGCTAATAAAATATTGTTTTTAAAGTACAACGCTGTTTGTTTGGGAGGGTCGCAGAGGCGGGAATGAGACCGTTGAAAAAAAAATAAGCCAACCGCGTCTCAGTGAGTTAAGGTTCCATGGGCGGGTTTTCAGTGAATATCTTTAATTAAAACAGGAACTTCCTGAAGTAACAAAGTAATGAATTGAAGTTGCCAGGAAAAAGTGGAAAACTGTTGGGCAGGATGTGAAAAGCTTAATGAAAAAACCCTCAAAGTTGCCAGGATGTATTAATTATACAGCCTGTTCACTTAGGTTATCTTAGTAATATTAGCTTTTAAAATACTAAATTTTAAGCTGTTATTTGCCAGAATATAAATATGCTACCATGATCATCTCATACTTAGGCATACCTCCTTGATCTGCGAATGTCTTAATTTTTTACATAACTACTTCGACGCCAATTTTCAGTAATGATTTTTTTTAGTCAGTGAGAGACTGTTTCATGTTTGGTAATTGGATATTATAATAAGAGTATTGAAATGTTGTCATATACCTAAGCTGTAGGTTCTGGGTTCGATTCCTGGTGTAAAAATCGTTGTATTGAAATATTGTTACTTCAAATAGTGTTAATTGACCCAGACGCAGAAAGATTAATTTAAATAAAACTTTTTTATAAAGCTTCTATTATATTTTATTTTACTATAAAGCAATATTTATTAGTAAATAAACGACTCAGTTCAATCAAGTCAATGAAAAACATTATAAACTAGAAATGTGTCTTAGCGGTTGATAGGAATCAAATACTTTTTAGGAATTCTTAATTTAAATAGAAAATCTTAACACTAAATATTAGTTGCCATAATTACATAAATCACGACACTTATTCAAGATTCTCCCGGCACAAGGCTTAAAAATCTCTGCCGATATTAACATTCACTACGGTCCAACTAATTGCAATCACTTATATACGTATAGATTCTAATCTTCATTTAGTTTAATAAACAACAAACATGACATGTGTGTTGATGTGACATTTAGTTTAATAAGAAATGACAAAAAACTTAATGAATTTGTTTATGACACTAGAAGGTTTAGCGTTTATGGTACAGGCTACGCCTAGTTTAAACGATTATAGAATGACGATTATCTCAACGATTCGTTGCTTATTGAAGGTATACAACCTTTAGAATGTAGGTAGAAAATGTAATTGATTTTGCATCAAAAAAAGTAATTTATAAGTATTCTTTTTTAAATTACTTCTCAACACTCCGCTAGTTAATAATAATACTTAAAATAATAAAATAACTTCCATCTATGCTAGCCTTAATAATTTTTTTACAATAGGCAAGTATGTGATCAGCCGTGCTTGTGACTGGTTTGGGCCCTGTCTTCTCTCTACTCTCTTTACTGTAATTGTTTTGGAAAGAAAATTCGCATACACTTAACCACTATGCCAAAAATGTTAAATATCTCAATTTTGACTTTTGAAGGCTACTTTTAAATTATAATTTTCAAACTGGGTTCATCTATAAAATATTATATAATTTTTAAAAAAGATATTTTTTGTAAAAATCATGACAATCTGCGTGCTAAGCATGGTTAGAAATTGTGTATATCACATATCTAAAAAGAATTTGCATAGACTCCATTTGAGTTGTTGGCTTCATTCAGCATGTGACGTTGTAGGTTCAAACCCTGGCTGGTGTAACAATGGAGTTTCTGCCTATGTGTGTATTTTTAACTGTTGCTCGTTGGCGTAGACCCAAAAAGTCGAACAGGTACAGAAATCTGAGACCCAGACCTAAAAGGTTGTAGTAAATTATATTTATATATTTTATATAAACGCGATTTCATTGCGTAAAATGATATTCTTCCACTAATACTTTTTAACGTGAAATAGAAACGCAATATTTTATTCTCATGAAATTGAGAAGGTCTCTTATTCCAATTGTCACATCTCTGAAACCAATCTTAAGTAATAAATCAGATATAAAATGAAATATGAAATCAACATACATCTCTTTCTCAAAAGGCGTGGCTTGGTAAGGCGCATGCGTTTGTTCTTAAGAATACGATATCTAGAACTTGTTCTGAACTTAATAAAACTTCAGAGAAATATTGTTTGATATTAACTTTATTATAACATTGTTGGAAAATGTTACTGCGTTTGCATACAAATAAAACGGACAGACAAATCAATTTTTTTTATAAATGCCAAGGGTATATAGAAAATTCTAAACAATTATTATGTGTTTCTAGCCACAACTCTGTAAGTCAAAACGTTTATTGTATATATACGAAAAGAGTTGTCCAAAGGGTTTTTTTATAGTTTTAAGTTACTTTGTACCGACTTTTAAAATTTCTATTACTGCCAAAAATATTAACTGTAGTTAAATATTAACTAATTAAAAAAAAGTATTATGATACTTAATGGCGGTAGATTAATCACAATAAAACGTGATTTGTACATTAATTTTCGCAATCTTGAATGAATGAACAAATCTATCGTACGATCGCGAAAACATCTTTATAAATGTATTCTAAGAGAGAAAGCACCTAGACGTGCATTCAATGTATTCAAAGGCATTTGGGGAGAATATTCAATATATTTCGTTAGCTCTGCATGTACGTCGGCTCATCACGGAGTTCGGTCACGGACTGCCGCTCCGATGCACAATTCAGGCGTTCGACGCGAGGTGGCGCTGTCAATTTGCGCCGCTAACACTTTTTGGCGCCCAACGAGGGAGAAGTTTCTCAACACGTTGAATTATAGGTACGTGAGGAAGAACTTATTGTAGCTTTCAACGAGTTTATGTAATTGTTTTAAAAGCTTCTTCATACAGTAACAAGTACTATATAAAGCTTCTTGATATAGTAACAAGTACTATATGAAGAAGCTTTTAAAGCAGCTAAAAAGTAAATTAGTATCGAACCTGGGTAGATACTGGGAATTAAACGTAGCTTAGTTATGCGATTAAATATATAATTAATCTACGATCAGGAATGGTTAAGGAATAATTAATAGATAGAAGGTGGCGAATAAGACCAGCAACGCACTTGCGAGCCTACTGCGAGTGTCCATAGGCGGCGGTATCACTTAACATCAAGTGAGCCTCCAGACCGTTTCCTCCTGTTCCATAAATAAAAGAAAGGTCGATCATTAACAGTGTAGACGTATTTGGTTCTATCATTCATTGAACTAAATAAAATAGTTGTCATTATATAATAAAACATAAATACATGCAGCAAACAGAAATTGTTACGTCGTAGTCTTAAAAACGGCACTAATAGTGTTGTGTGTGTGTGTTTACGTAATGTAAATGTATGTAAATAACACACGGATTAATTGTGTGTCCCATTTTTGTTGAATTCATCAAGGAAGGTTTTAGGCCAAAATCCCACTCCTAGTAACACTCCTATTACTACTAAATAGCGCAGTATCATGATAAAATTCAGATCAGAACCAAAAACAACAGCAACACTGTCATTTTCATGTTACCGCTAGACTAAAAACTCGTACAATTCGCATTCAAATCCCCGATAGGAATATTCCCGTCGTAAAGCCACAAACGTTCGTATCAAAGGTTCTCCTCCGGGATACCGTTTACAGCGATTAACATCCAGTTCGTTTGATGTATTCATGTTTTCCTCGTAAAAGTACCTCTTATTTCATACCCAGTTTGGCACAATAGGACAAAGATTTTTGTATTCTATACAAAGCAATTATTCATATTTTTACTGTGCAATATATATTAATATTGCCTAATTGCCTTTGGCTCTTTTTTTATTTTTTTTTAAACAAAACCCTACCCGATTTTAAGTCAGATGTTGATCATGCTGCATCAGGACAATCAAAATATACTCTGATTTTTAATTCAGTAGAATTCTGACAGCTATCATTTTTTGACATGTCAAAGATGGCAAACATTTTGGCCGGGCACATTTTTCAATTTCAATATGAGTCTTAACATCTGAGTCTATACATACATTTTATTGTTAGTTAATGTATCCATTTAATTAAGTGCGGTGTTCCTCATTAAAAGTGGTTTAACGGCGAATGATAATAACGTCCCTTTTCATCACAAACAGTAAAAACGCACAAGTAAAGATAACATTTTTTTTAAAAGGTTTACTAAACCTGGAATTAGT